GACCCAGACTTGGTCAATAATAAATATATCTGTACTAACTTAGAATTCTATAGAATTCTATACATTTCCTAGATTTCTGTTTTGAGAATAACTCGGACTTATCATGTTTCAGCTGTGAAAAAGTTGTTGTAGAATTCATAGGGAAAATGTAGAATTCTATAGAATGTCTGAAATGTAGAAATTCTGCCATTGCTGTACCAAGAACCAGTAGCTGCTTCCTCAACCTAGGTTTCGATGATTTCTGTAGTCGAGGAAGAACGAAACTCCACATCTTCTATGAGAAAACAATGTGAGATATATAGTAGTTAGGTGAGCGGAACGAAAGAATGAATTAAACGGCAAACGTTAAATATCCGTTTTTTGTCTATTTATGTAACGGTCATAAAATACCATTTGATGGTTACTTATATCGGAGTGTTACTAACACTCAATTAATTGCTTCTTTTTAGGCCATCATTAAAGATCAGATGAAGGTAGGTATGCACCGGTGCATCTATTTTACTTTGAAGATGGTTGCAAGAGAAAATTAATTATGTGCGCAACCTTCTTGTGTCCTCTCATGCCAATTTTTGTCAACGCAGATCGTCGCACAGTGTGCATTTTTCCATAGGCCAGGCGGACAGTGCTATAGAAGCAGTCTGAAAGTCGATAAACACCTTTTTATAGGTTTTCAGATATGCTCTATCCATTGGCGTGCTTTACAAAATTCCAAGAGACTTTCATCTGAGTTCTCCAGAGACCGGCTCTCTAGAAAACCCACACATAAGTACTCTTGAACTTTGTAAAGCACGCCATTGGATAGAGCATATCTGAAAATCAGTAAAAAAATGTGTATAGACTTTCGGACTGCTTTTATAGCAAATATCAAAATTCTTAGCCATTGTTACGCTATGCTTCGACTCTAGCGTTCCGTTAGATCCAACAAGTTTTTGCTAAACAAAACCTACTAATCGCACATCATCCAATGCAGTTTCTTGCGCTGATTCCGAATATGTAATTTTTGTTGAATAAAAATGTTTCCGAACCGAGAAAAATGAAAATATCTGAAAAACTCAGGTTTTTTGGAAAACCCGCTGTATGCTTCAGAAACATTTGCGCATTTTTGTGCATTCACCGTAGATGCAGAGCATATAGGAGAACATTCTATGAAAATTTGGTTAAGTTTGGACCTTCGCTAACCTTCGCGCGCTCACTTTACTGAAATTAGCCCTTAGGAAAATCGCTTGAGAAAATTTCTTTTTAATTTTCTCAGTTATCATAAGTCTAATTTAAAATTTTCTTTTTACTGGTCTATAGCTGATGTCATGCAGATTTAGAATATATGTCGTTTTTTATTACAGCTTCATTGACTGTGGTGAAAATTTCATTTTTTTCACTTATACTACTATTTCAGGCTAATTTTTGATTAGCTGTTTTCCCGCGATACATAAATTTTGTAACAAAATTTGTTGTGTCATCAAATAGAGCATCACTTGAAGTATATTAATCATTATTTGAATCGTCGAAAACTCCATTTTCATTTTCTCACCTAATGTCCGCTTGGATGCACACTGTGTGTCGCTTGTAATATATGGTGCAAAAAGTAATGGCAACAATGTCAAACTTTGTTAGACCGTATTGCTGACTTCTAAACCAATCAAACTTTCTTTTGTTAGAAAGAGCAAAGTCTGAACTACAAGTTTTATACCAGACATATTTTTCCAGAATGAATCAGAGAAGGAGGAAAAGTCAAAAACTAAATACCTCTGAAAAAGTCCTTGCAACGTTTTTGTAACTTCAAAAGTTTGTATTTCTCAATTCTTTCGAGCTCTATGTATCAAACTTGAACAAAAAAATACACTAAAATGTAGCGGATCAAAAATTCTATCGATATCAACATTGATAAAGTGTTAGATCCGTTCTTGACTCTTTAATCAAAAACGTTTTAAACATGAATTTTTTTGTAAAATCGAGTCTTTTGCAAAACTATTACTTTGCAAGAAAACCAGGCATCATCTTCAGAAATCATACATGAACTCAATTCTTTTTGCGTTATTTGTTAGAAATATGTCCGATCGTAGAAATTTTACAAAAAAAAATAATTCAAAAATTTTTTTTTATCATTGTAAAACGGCCAGGTAGTAAGAACAACCAACTTATTTAGTCTCTTTCAGAAAAAGCTGTATTTTGGTACAAAAATCAAGAGTAAATTTAACTTTCAGTGTACCATTAGAAAGAGCACTCTTTATGCTACAAAAATCATCATTTAACGTGTTTTCTCATTTCTCTTCTAATAAAAAAAACTAATAGAAAATAGAAAATGATGTTGCTCCATGATGAAATTGCAAGGACTCTCTCAGATGTGTTTGATTTTTGACTTTTCCTCCTTCTCAGATTCGTTCTGGAAAAATATGTCTGATATAAAACTTGTAGTTCAGACTTTGCTCATTCCAACAAAAAAAAGTTTGATTGGTTTAGAAGTCAGCAATACAGTCTAACAAAGTTTGACATTATTGCCATTACTTTTGCATCATATGTTAGTTAATCCAGACTTAGTATTACTGAGAAATTTTGTGTCCCGATAGCCGTCTTTTAAAGAAAGAGCATTTATTAGATAAATGAGTGAACCTTTTTGATCAACAAACAGCTTGATCAGAAAACATTAAAAGACCATGAGATATATTCTTGCTGTTTCTCTTATACTCTGGTTGTTGCTTATATTCTGTTTTTTTTATCTACACGAAATAATGATTACTGTTTTGAGTGTCTCCCATTTGCTTGTGATTATTACTATTTATTTTATTTTTCTTATTTTAAATAAAAAGTTTAAACTAACATCAGAGCATAAAACAGTGTCTGTTAGACACTGTCTAAGTCTAGCAGAACAAAAAACAGATTACGTTTTTCTGATTTTACCGATTTGAGTCTTTTGATTGTTGGTGCACCGAAACCGGTACAGATAAAATTAGAAGTTTCTTAGGCATAGTAAATAAATGTTATGTGATAACTCATTATATCATTTTAAAACCTAAAAAAATGTTTGAAATGTTTTGGGTGCCAGTTTGAATCAAACATCGGTTTCTATGTCAACACAGACATTATGTGTATTTGCAGGAATTTTATTTTTTTATTTTTATTTAGTCATTTTTTGCAAAATGAGCACGATGTGATCTAAAAAACTGCTTAGAAAAGTTCTGAAAACGGGAGAACAATCTCTCGACATTGGAAATTGGTCAATGTACGTTCTTTTTTAAAAACTAAGTCCAGATTCGGTGTCATAAGCTACACAAGTAGAACTAAAATGTTTTTTGGACTTAGAAACTTTTCGTACATTTATAAGAGTTGATTGTCCGGCACCATTTGTTCTTAATACTTTACCCCCGACAGCGTTTCCAGAAGAGCCACTGACGAAACAACAACTGGAATAGAGTATTGGTGTCTCTAATATGGCAATAGTATGGACAGATCGGTCAGAAACACTCTCGTTTGTGCAGAGCAGTTCGGTCACTCTAGTGACCAAGGAGGGGGGGGGGGGGGGGGAAACGGTTAAGTTGAAAAAAAATAAATTTTTTATTTTTTTGTGTTTTATAATTTGGCCGTTAAGCATTTTAATGGGGGGTTTGGGT